GCTTTGTGTGTGCCGTTCCCACTGACTAGAAGAAATTTCTCTCATACTTTCACATGGCTAGCTCCCCCTTTTGAATTATTCATGTCCCAGCTCAAATGTCAACACTTTAGAGAGATCTTCCCCAAGTATTCCAGCTAATGTAGTCTTCCCAGTCAGTATCATATTACTGTTGTATCTTCTATACAGCACATAACACCACAGGAATTTGTTACTTGTTCATTGTCTCTCTCCCTCTGCTGAAGTAACTTTCTTGAGGGAAAACAGAAAACCAGTTGCCATCCAGTAGATTCGGATCCCATGTGTGTAGGAGTAGAACTGTGCTCCACAGAGTTTTCAATGACTGATTTTTCATTAGTAGATCACCAGGCCTTTCTTCTGAGGTGCCTCTCGTGGACTCAAACCAACCTTTCAGTTAGCAGCCAAGTACTTAACCATTTGCACCACCTAGGGATAGGACTTTCTATATTTTGTTCACTATTACAACCCCAACAGCTAGAAGGTGATAGGTGTCCAACATGGTAGCCACTAGCCACATGTGGTTACAGAGCACTTAAAATGTGGCCAGTCCGAATTGAGATGTGCAGTAAGTATAAAATACACTCCATATTTCAAACACAGTACAATAAAAGAGTAAACTATCTCATTAATATTTTTATATTGATATGTTGAAATATTTTGAATATACTGAGTTAAATAAAATATATTACTAAAATTAATCTTACCGGTTTCTTTTTATTTTTTAATGTGGCTACTTGAAAATTTTAAATTACATATTCACTTGCCTTCTATTTCTATTGGACAGCATGATCTAGAACAATGCCAGTAGGTACTAACTAAACATTTATTCAGAAAGTCATGTTACCGTATCTTTAGGAGATTCTGATGAGAAGTATGGTATGGCTGGCTTTATAAAGGCAACGTCTAGGGTTATTACTAGGCTTACCCGTTACCATCGAGTTGATTCCGACTCACAGCAACCCTATAGCACAGAGCAGAACTGCCTCCATAGGGTTTCCAAGGAGCACCTGGTGGATTCCAACTGCGGACCTTTTACTTAGCAGGCGAACTCTTAACCACTATGCCACCAGGGTTTCCTTTTAACGTATAAGTATCTAATTTGTATTTTATAACCTCAAGTGTGTCTTGTGCCCCTAACTAAAACCCTCCAAAGGCTTCCCTTCTCATTTAAAATAGATTCAAACTGCCAACCTTTTGGTTAACAGCCGCGCTCTTAACTACTGTGATACCAGGGCTCCGTTACTAGTCTAAGACAGCACAAAACCCTTGCAGTAATGTATCTGTACAGTACCTGGCAGTTTCCAAGGCATTTTCACAGATACCTCATTTAGCCTTCCTAGCTCTGTGGTAAATATTATTGCTCAGACATTGAACAGATTACGAAACTAGGGCTCAGAGGTTATGTAACTTGCTTAGATGGCAGTCACGTCAAAAGGCTGAACTATGACTAATCCTGCTCAATAACTTCAAATTTCTGACTCTCTCTACTATACTGTGCTGCTTCTAGTTAGGCTTTGAATACTAACCAATGAACCAACTCAGGCTGCTCCTTTCAGCACATACAGGTGCTTCTCTAAAGAAGAAAGGGAAGCATTCGAGTTTTAGAACCATCCTCTCTATATCCCCTGCTTCACGGACGAGGGAGAGGGAGAACATTAGAAGCAAGAGGGTTATAAACTGAAATGCACGGTGAAAGTACATCCCAGGGCAGAAATTCAGATATATCAACAAAGACCATTTGTCATCTGAAAAAATGAAGGTTCCTCAAATTAGTCTAAAGATTAACACAATCCCTATCAAAATCTCAGTTAGTAAAGACCAAATTCACATCAATGCTGATAACTCTTAATAAGAAGCGAAAAACTGATTTTCAAAAAAGAAGAAAATAAAGGTTATGAGACCATCAGATGATGACCAGTACTAATCAGTACTTAAAAGTTCGTGATTTCTTTTAGGATACATACATATTTTATAGTTTATAAGTTCAATGTTAAATTACCTCAGCTTTTCACTATTGTGAGTGAAAAGGTACCTTCAAAAAAATTTCATGTATGCTTCTGGCTCATATATTCTTGTCAGGTCAGCAGGGGGAAATAAACTTGAATGCGTTTTGCATGCAAAAACTAAGACAAGAGACTGAAGTCCTTAAATGCAAAGGGAAAGTCTGTTTACACACATCCGTATGTAAGCGTACACAGGTGCAGTCTAGTGCTGCCATTTGTACTGAAGCAACGAGGGCGTTAGGCTATTAGAGTTTGTAGCATCTCTGAAACTTGAACTCAGGTAGAAGTTCATTATTTTCTTCTTTGTCCCTTTCTCCACCTTCCAAATTCTATACAAGAAATGTTTTAAAATGAGAATAAAATACAACATTTTATAGAAGCCAGAAGATTACAGGATATTCTGATTAATTCATAGGTATTAAATGACAAATATAAACTAACTCAAGGCTTTACTAGAAAATAAATATGTAAGTATAACCTACATAAAGAATAACCTTAATGAGAATTGCATCCCTATTCAAAAAAAAAAAAAAACTCCAGAACTGAATCTCATCTAATCACTTAAAAGAATTTTTTTTTTTTTTTTTTAATTTGGCCCTTTTTTCTAAAACGTTTGACTGCTAACCAAAGGTCAGCAGTTTGAACCTACCAGGCTGCCACATCTGCTCCATGGGAGAAAGATGCGGCAGTCTGCCTCTGTAAAGATTTACAGCCTTGGAAACTCTATAGGGTTTGATGAATTAAGATTCATTCCTCTTAATTATATCAAAGGGCAAGTTAAAAAAATAGTTCTAATAACAATGTAGGAATTTTTACCACTAGTAAGAGTGCTGGTCTGTGATAAGAACATCCTTTACTTATTCTTTGCAGAGTAGCTCCTTCAACCCCATGTCAGGGTACAATGCCATCATATGGTTTCCTAAATTAAATTCCTGCCTTAATAATGCAGGTCTAATTCTAAAAGGATCCCAAGAAAAACTATACCACAGGCCACAAAAGGCACAATTAGCAAATGTTTCCTGATACTTAGTCAATTAATCACTGAAATAAAATCAGTATATATATAAAGAAGTGACATGAAATACCTTTTCTTTATTTCTCATTCTACT